AGTAGAAAGAAAAATATGAACAAAAAAAACAGGGAGGGAGGGAAGAGGAGGGAGGTAGAAAGAGGGAGGGCGGATGGGGTAAATATGGTATGAGGGGAGAGAGAGAGAGGTAGAGAGACAGAGCGAGAGAGAGAGAGAGAGAGAGAGAGAGAGAGCGAGAGCGAGAGAGAGAGAGAGAGAGAGACAAAGCGAGATAGATAGATAGATAAATAGAGAGAGAGAAAAAATAACTAATCCCCAACAGACACGACAAACCGAACCAAACAACCGAAAGAAACGCCAGATGAAGAGAAAAAGAGACAAACGAGGAGAGACAAAAGAGACAAGAGAGAAAGAGAACGACCAGAATGGGTTAATACTCCCACTCATACATCTCGACAAAGGGAAACATCTAATCCAGCCGGACCAGGAACACGTATAACGGGATCTGGAGGGGGAGAGGATTAGCCATGATAAAATTAAACTAGCTAATAGCATCCAGCAGCAGGGGGAGGAGGAGGAGGAGGAGGAGGAGGAGGAGGAGGAGGAGGAAAACGGAATAGGAGGGGGAAGGATGAAGAGGAGGGGGAAGGGTAGGGAACGGGGTGAGGGACAGGAAAGGGAAGGGGAGGGGAGGGGGGGAGCAGGAAAAGGAGGGGGGAAGGTTGGGGAAGAGGGAGGGGACCAGGAGAGGGAAGGGGGGAGGGGAGGGGAGGGGAGGGGAGGGGAGGAAAGTGGGGGACGGAAAAAGAAATAAAAGGAGGAGGAGGAGGAGGAGAGGAGGAGGAGGAGGAGGAGGAGGAGGAGAGGAGGAGGAGGAGAGGAGGAGGAGGAGGAGGAGGAGGAGGAGGAGGAGAGGAGGAGGAGGAGGAGGAGGAGAGGAGGAGGAGGAGGAGGAGAGGAGGAGGAGGAGAGGAGGAGGAGGAGAGGAGGAGGAGGAGGAGGAGGAGAGGAGGAGGAGGAGAGGAGGAGGAGGAGAGGAGGAGGAGGAGGAGAGGAGGAGGAGGAGGAGAGGAGGAGGAGGAGAGGAGGAGGAGGAGAGGAGGAGGAGGAGAGGAGGAGGAGGAGAGGAGGAGGAGGAGGAGGAGAGGAGGAGGAGGAGAGGAGGAGGAGGAGGAGGAGGAGAGGAGGAGGAGGAGGAGGAGAGGAGGAGGAGGAGGAGGAGAGGAGGAGGAGGAGGAGAGGAGGAGGAGGAGGAAAACGGAATATGGGGGGGAAGGATGAAGAGGAGGGGGAAGGGTAGGGAACGGGTGAGGGACAGGGGAGGGGAGGGGAGGGGAGGGGAGGAAAGTGGGGGAACGGAAAAAGAAATAAAAGGAGGAGGAGGAGGAGGAGGAGGAGGAGGAAGAGGAGTAGGAGGAAGGAGAGAAGAAAAAGAGAAAAGAACAGGAGAAAGTAGGAAGAGAAGGGAAAAAAGAAGGGAGGAGGAGAAAATGAGGAGAAAGTAGGAAGAAGAGAAAGAAAAGGAAAAGCAGAGACAGAAGGAGGGGGATGAGAAGAGAGAGAATAAAAGGTAAAAAAAAAACCGCATTTACTCTCAGAGAAAAACACTGGAGATGGTCGACTTGGGTTTTATGAGTGCGTGTGCACTGGGCATCACCTCGTATTCCCTTTACATCACTTCGACCCCATCTTCGCTCTCTTCCACCTTCCCCCCCCCCCTCC